CGTTCTACCTTCTCTACCTCTGAATACTCTCTCTCTCTCTCTCTCTCTCTCTCTCTCTCACACACACACACACACACACCCACAAGAAAACCTATTACTTAGATTTGGTTACAAGGTTTTTGACGGATTATAACTGCATTTGACGGATTTCAAATATGTAGTGAAGGTATGTATAAAATGATTTGTTGTTTGATTTTAGAAGTTTACATTATATAAAATTATGATTTAAGGTTTCATACTTGACTAGAAGATGTCGATTAGGGTTTATTTGATAGATTTCACAGTTCCATAATTATGGCAATTTGTTTGAGTGATATTTGGAGTTTTTAAGAAGTGTAAATTTTTGGGGTTTTTAAGAACTGTAAATTTGGGGTTATTTTTAGAACTTGAAATTTAGACATAAGTTATTGAGTTAAGTTTTTTTAAAAAAAAAAAATTGTATAAGAATTTAAAAAATTGGGGTTTTTGATAACTACAAATTTGGGGGTCTTTTTAGAACTCGAAATTTTTACAAGAGGTTGTATTGAGTTGATGAATTTTTTTTTAGTGACTGTGAGGAAATTCACATAACTGTGATTGAATGCTTTGTTTTGAATACTTTGTTTTTAGAACTCGAAATTTGATGTGTTGCTTTGTTTTGATTGCTATGCAGATTTTACATTATATTGTATGGTGTATTAACTTTGATAGTTTTAAGCACATATTTGTGATAGATTTAGTGATAGCTTAGGAAATGGTTGATTTATCTTGTTAACAGATTGATTAGCTTAAAAATGAAACTTTGTATGTGATTTATGATTCAAGTACAAATTTACCTTGAACATTTTGCAAATGCTTGTGGTTTTAGGAGTACATAGGAAATAAATAACTTTATACATACAAGTTTCAATATTTTGGATAGAATAATTCGTGACTAGATTTATATGAGAGCTCATTCGATATGGAAATTTGTGATCACCTATATGGAGGTTTAATCAGGGACTTAGCATTGTTTCATTGATTCTATATACAAATACATTATGAGTTATTAGTGTTTTGATATTCATTTGTATCATCATGTTTTTTTGATAGAGTAGTACTTGTATTAGAACCTATAAGTTGAGTTGAAGAGCTCCATAACACTAGGTTATGGTCTGTTTAATAATAGCATGTCGTTATTGTTTATTTGTTATTCAATTAAGTTTTGTATATGTAACTTTATGATTAACATGGTGACCATATGGGGTTTCAATGAATATAAATTGTGTCCATCCAGATGGGGAATACCCAGGAGATCCTCAGGACCCTAATTTGCTGCAGCTTCATTTGGAACATTCATCATGTTTCATATGGGACTTAGCATTGTTTCATTGATTCTATATGCAAATACGTTATGAGTTATTGGTGTCTTGATATTCATTCGTTTGTATCATCATGTTCTTTTGATAGAGTAGTACTTGTATTAGAACCTATAAGTTGAGTTGAAGTGCTCCATAACACTAGGTTATAGTCTAAAAGTAACCATCTTTTCTGTTTAATAATAGCATGTCCTCATTGTTTATTTGTTATTGAGTTAAGTTTTGTATATGTAACTTTATGATTAACATGGTGACCATATGGGGTTTCAATGAATATGAATTGTATCCATTCAGATGGGAAATACGCAAGAGGTCCTCAGGATCCTAATTTGTTGGGGCTTCATCAGGAACATTCATCATGTTTTATATGGGAATGACAGGTATATGAATATATTCATCTACCATTTCTATTAGTTGGCTAGTTTTCAATAAATTGTAGTCTGGTTTAAACATCATACGCAAAATACATGTATATATATTGGGATTCATATTTTGTCTATTTGTTGTATTACAGGAAACACAAGAAATTAGAATCAATAAAAAGACTATATGATTGATTTATGCCTAATATGTTACATGGCCGAAAATTACATGTGGGCTCTTGTCTGACCTCTACCATGTCCACACATGCTTGTGCACGGGTATATATGTATAACATTTAGGCACATCCATGGACATGATATGCATAGTTGCAGGAAAGATGTATCCCAAGTTCCCACCTATTGTATGGGGAAATTGTGTACATGTAATGTCTCTTAAACATGCAGCACATCCACCATCCATCTTGCAAAGAGACATTGGATACTAAACCGTGGACGCACTCCAGTTCAGTGGCTGACTTAGTCACTGCAAAGAGACGATGGATACTAAACCGTGGACGCACTCCGGTTCAGTGGCTGACTTGGTCACTGCAAAACCACCGACATGCCAGTTAGATGGCCATTTCTGAAAAACACGAATACAAATTTGGCAAGGAAGTTTATATGAAGGTAAAAACTCGGGCACAAGTGGATTTTTCACTTATAAAACTCGCTACTTAACCAATCAAGCAAATAAATTTGTATAAAGAGATCGGGATCTCCCAATGTAAAAGGGGCCGGGCAATAGGATATTGCAGCAGGCAAGAGCCGGACCCCATGTACACAACATGACAATGGATTGTTTACTTGGTTAATGCTCTGTTTGGGAGCATGATAGGTTATGGTGAGGTAATCAGTTAGGACATGGATGGAAAAGGATCAGGAGGTAATGCATTTTTATTCAAGTGTGGTCACAGGATGATAATCTGAATCATGACCATCATGAATCTAGAAAGAAAATCAAAATTATCTAGAAAGAAAAGAGTTTAAAATTTACATCATGGAAATAAGTTAAATCTAAATGAGATCTTAAAATGTTCTAAAAATAAAGAGTAAAACCATATGTATTCAAAGCTTCTATCTTTTTTCAAATTCATGATTGTAGTAGTCGAGATTATACGATGAATTTTAAAATTAGGTCCAATATAGATTTTGGAAGGAGCTCGTACTTGTAATTTCCATTGGTCTACCAAAAAAAACAATCATTGGAGACTGCGTAGAGACCATTTACCTTTGATACAAAGAAGTCACAATTACAACAACCATTTGATGTAAAGTTTAATAGTTTGGTATGTCCCAAAGTTTGAGAAAGTTTCTTTTCAAATTTGAGCTTGGTCAATGAAATAAATGCAGCCATCTAAGTTCACATTCAATGGTCAACATCAATTGTGGCCACCTTGTACCAAAGATAAATAGTCTCATGGAATACTTTTCCAATATCAAAATACAAGAGCCCATGTCCAATCTAATCATTTTTAAAATCTTTTTAGCGAAGTCCAAATTTTTGGGAAGGAGGTCCACCTGAGCTCCAATTAAAGGTCACGGCCTCCATTTTCACCTACTCTTTTAAAAAATTGACTCTTTTCCAAATAGTAAGGGTCTTAATCTTCACGGGTTTACCTCAAAAATGATAATAATAATTAGAAAAATATCTCCATACTTCCTATTTTTAAATTTCATTTCACAATAAACCCAATGTTTTAAAAGATATCTTGGAACATAAAATTATATTTTTTATTTCTTCTAACCCTTTGAGGTAATTTAAATTAGTTTTTTTAGGTCAAACAAATCCAAAAACACATTCCTTTTTTAAAAATCGTCCTCCCAAACTTCTAGAGAGAGAAAGGCTTTATGGAGGTAAGGTTATCGGGAGGAGAGAGAGTGGTGTTCGAAGAAATACATGAGGAGAGAGAGATGCAAGAAGAAAAAGAAAGAGAGAAGTTTGGAGAATATAAGTGAAGATAGATAATGGATTGAGTTTAAAAATAGCATGTCTTTCTCACATTTGTTTAAGTTAAAAAATAAGTTTAAGGTGGCCGGATGGCTAGAAGATAGATTCTCAAACTTTGAGTTTATCAAGAAATAAAACCCAAAAATAAAAGATATAGAGATATTTTCTCATAATAATTATTGAAAACTTCAAAGATCAAATTTTCGGGTGGGAGGTCCACAAAAAAAATTGACTCTTTTCAAAATGTTAAGGTAAGAGCGTGTAAAAATTAAACATTTTCGGGTAGGAGGTCCACAAAAAAATTAACTCTTTTCAAAATGTCTTAGTAAGAGCGTGTAAAAATATAAAAATCGCCGCTGCCGGGGATCGAACCCGGGTCACCCGCGTGACAGGCGGGAATACTCACCACTATACTACAACGACTTCGTTATTGCTTACGAGAACCAAATTTTATAAAGCAATAAAATAAGAAAGTAGGCCCACGAGAAGTGGAAAAACCAAGTTCATGAAACATCATTTACTATGGCCTTAAAAACCGAAGACTACGACAAAATTGATTCTAGAAACCCATGAATGCCATTTGGTACGAGTCCCATGTTTGTTCTAGAAAGGCTTGGACTGGCAGGAGCTGCTCCCATGTTTGTTTAAGAAGTTGTAACAATCAAGTCTCTTTCTAGACATAATATGAGTAATGATAGTTAGGGATGAACACCCACCCACCCACCCCCTTCCTTGCTTGCTTGCTTGCTCTTCACTTTCACGTCACCCCTCCTCATGTGTATCCAACCCAACTCTTCTTCTCTTCCTTCTTGCTTTAACACAAAAAAACACTTACTTGTATGTAGCCCTTCTAGAAATGGCTGGGTCCTATATTCTTTAATGAAAATGCCTTGAGTGGGGGACTGAGAAGGCATCCCTTTTGTTTGCTAGTTTCCACAGCCCCTGAATCTGCGAAGAATGGGGATCGAAATATTCAAGCCTGTTTGTATGCTGTCTCAAAATGCATGTATGTTTTTCCGGTTTTGAAAAATCTAAGAAAATGTCAGTTCTAAACCTATACACCTTTTTCTCACACTCTATACATCATAGAAACTGACTGAAGCACGTCTAGTAGCCAAACAAACGACTTGAGGCAAAAGCTTTTTTACTGTTGAAGTTTGGATGCTTTTCGTAATCAAGGATTTTATCATGCCAGCTCTTTCATGTGGTTTCTTTGTTTTTTTTTTTTTTTTTTTTTTTTAACATGCCTAAAGAATTTCTATTAAAAGAAAACGAATTAAAAGATACAAAGTCATCGGAAGGAAGTAATCACCAACAAAAATTGGTGAACTCCTTTTGCTTTGGCATTAGCCTCCCAATAGCAATAGCGGATTTCAACAACTATAGTTTTAAGAATATCCCATAATATCTCATGAAAAATATATAGTCAATCTCCATAAAACATTAGCTTCGCCTTTACTCCAACCTTTCTTTCATGTGGTTAATAAATGTTTCATATCTCATTACTTTAAACAAATAAAGAACAGCATGATGATCCACATGAATATTGTAATAACATCATCATGGTGGTCCTGATCATCCCATCAATTATAGAATTTCATTTTATTTTTCATTTTTTTCATGCTATCATTTTCCTTTTCTATGGATTCCTTCTTTAATTTATTTTGGAAAGGTAAATTTATTTGGCCCTCTGCTCTTGCATCCCTCTTGTAACAAATTCTTATCAGAATTCAGAAGGCCAGTCTAAGTCTCCAAATCAACAGTTCGGATTTTCCCCAAGGCAATGCCACGCTTCGAATTTGGGCCCTACAATGCAACGAGCCACGTCTCACGTCACACCCACACCATCCATTCTAGCAACCGAAATTCCTCGTCCATTCCAACAAGCTAACGCCCATGTCCTATATATTGCAACAGGCCTACCCGATCATCTATAACGGGAGCCTGTCTCCAGTCATGCCCAACATTTAACACAAACCAGGACCCCGCAATACATAACCCTCACCAATAATCGCCACACGAGCACGCCCCACCTTTGAAGTGATGGAAGCGGTTCGCATCTCTAACCACAATCTCGCGCCCCACTAGCTTGGATATCATCTTTGTCACACTATGACAATCAACACACGCCCTAAGGTTCTTGGTGACCCTTATCGTCGAGCCAAGGCTCGTGTAGAAAAGGCCAAAGGTATGCCTAGCCACCATCTCCCCCTTCTCCTCACCCACATCATGCAATACTGAGTTCACGTCTGGCTCATAACCCATGCCCCTAAGCTCCCCCTCTAACCATGTCAACTTCTCGTAAATTTTGTTAGAGAAAGGGTGGGACTCATCTCCGGCTCCAACTGTATGGACCCTATGTCCCACTTCGATCGAGCTGGACCCTAGAAGCTTCCTAACTCCTCTCTCTTTCATCAAAGTCCTCACTCTAGCCACCTCATCCCACATCCCTGAAGCTGCTCATATTTGCTACGAGAACATATCAGCCTTCATTCAATGGGTCAAGCATGAAAACACGCTCTGCCGCTCTCTCTGCGAGGCTTACGTCTTTGTGTATACGACAAGCACCAAGCAATGAGCCCCAAACATCGGCCCCCGGCTCAAAGGGCATGCTATTGATGAGAGTCATCGCCTCATCAAGCAAGCCAGCACGCCCCAATGCATCGACCATGCACGCATAGTGCTCCCCCGATGGCTCGAGCGAGTGGTCATCACGCATGGCCTGAAACCACTGTCGAGCCACGTCGACCAGGCCTACATGCGCACAGGCCAACAACACATAAACAAAAGTAATAGCGTTGGGGCTTATGTTGGCCTTAAGCATGAGAGAGAGTGTCTCTAATGCATCGGACACAAGCCCATACACACCGTAAACTCCTATTAATGCATTCCAAGAAAATACATTTCTTTGAGGCATGTGATCAAACACTAATCGAGCGACACTTTATCTACCACATTTGGCAGACATGTTTACCAGTGCAGTGCCTAAGACCACATCAACCACGAAGCCATTCTTTATTGCCTAGCAATGAGCCCACCTTCCATGACCTAAGGCTGATAATTGGCTCAAAGAAGGGAGAATGGCCACTAAGGTTACCCCATCAAGCCCCACTCTAAATCCAAGTAACATGCCATGAAAGAGCTCCAATGCCTCTTTCGGGCGGTCATTTTGGCTATACCCTGCAATCATGGAGTTCCAACTAATAACATCTCTTTCAGGCATTTCATCAAAGACTTGACGAGCATCTGTTAGGCCCCCACACCTTGCATACATGGCTCTAAGCCAATTGCATACATATGTATGATCATCCATGCCAGCCATCATGGCATCTCTGTGAATTTCCTTGCCTTTCTCCAAATCTCCCATGGCTGAGCAGGCCTTGAGCACAAATGGGAAACTGAAATGGTTTGACTTCAACCCTTGCATTTGCATCTCATCTTAGGCTCTAATGTCTTCCATATATGAACCATGGGTTGTATAGCCTCGTATCAATACGTTATATAACTGAGAATCTCTCTCTGTCGTATTATTGAAAACCTTGCCCGTCTTCCATGAAGCCACTGAAAACTCTGTATATTTCGATCAATTTGGCTGCGAGATACATGTTGTTCTGATAACCAGCTGTAACAACTTGGGCATGGACCGCTTTGAGGCTTTCTATGTCTCTGCAACTCTGCAACAACTGAGAGTATTCATAAGAGTCAAGGAAGGAGGATCCATTTCGCCTGTCAAGAAAATAGCAGAAAGCTCTTACTCTAACAAACCCATGTTTAATCAGGAGCCGAATTGAAAACCCAAAGGCCAGGAGAGAGAGAGATGGAAGGGAAAGAGATGGACCTATTCAGTGTGTGTGTGTGTGAGAGCGAGAGAGGGGTCGTCTTTTTTGTTGGTGGGTGGGGGGTGGGTTGCTTATACAGAAATGAGGGAGAGAAAAATACATACGCTGAGTCAGAAATATGAGAAAGAGGGAAGCTTATTTACAAATGATGGGTGTTTATTTGAAATTGTCTTGGGTACATATAGGGTCTCATACTGCTCAATAACAAAATGCAAATGTAATCAGGAAACTCTACAGTCACCAGGGTGCTCGTCACCATCATCGTTGCCGCCGTTGTCATCGTCTGAAGCATCTCTATCTGCAAAGCCTATAATGTATTGCTCAAGTTCAGCTTCACCGACCGCTTCTTCCTCTTCATCGTCTTCTCCTTCTCCGTCTCCTTCTCCTCCTCTTGCTCTCCTTCGTGATCTTGACGTGCCCCTCTCTGATGATGGGAATATATGCATTATAATTTCGCGAAGGGTGGCAAAGTGAGCGAGCGATTCCCTGCCATTCAATAGCTGAAATCCAAAACACCAACACCAACCAATGTCACACAAATCATCTATCATCAAAGGAGAAGTATGGAGTATTTTGTGAACTTTAACATGGTCAAATTCATTTATATTTAACCAATAATTTTTACAACATTAGTATAGGATGCAAGTATCAATTGCCCACAACTCTAATTTCAGAAACATGAGGTGCATCAAATCCTGATCTGGGAAATGAGAGCTGCATAAAACTGTCCCATTAGGAGACAAAAGGAAACTATCCACAGAAATGCTAGTTACCACATGTATTATAGCATTTCATATTGATTTTTGTTTCTTATATCTGTAAAAGTTTACCAAAGAGAGAATTCTTATTCCAATTAGACAAATCCACTTAAAAGACACCTTGATGGAAGAACTGGAAAAGGGAAAGATCATGGACGTAGATTTGAATCACCATTCATATCAAAAGAAAAAGAAAAGATAAGAAGAATTAGAATCACCCTAAATCTTACCATGCATTGGTTTTCTTCTCTTTCCTTTTTATACGATATAATTAAATAAAATGCTGTTCATTTTTCATAAGAGAGGAAGTATAATGTACAAACTCTCAACTTCGATCACCCATACCGGATTCCATTCCTTTGGACCAAAGGGCACACGACTTTACAGGTATTCCGCTACAAATGCATAACAGCGTAATTTGATCCATATATCAGTTTTGTCTTTTTTTATTGAATCCATATATTCAGTATTTACTTCTCCAGGCATTCAAAAGATGTTGCTAAGAAACCATGGAGTGGCTAGCAGAAAAAATGTGGTTTGATGGATTTTGCTAAGAAACCATGGAGTGGCTAGCAGAAAAATGTGGTTTGATGGATTTTGCTAAGAAACCATGGAGTGGCTAGCAGAAAAAATGTGGTTTGATGGCTCTTGGGACTACAGACCTCTTCGAGATTCTCAGGTAGAGAGAAGGGTGCAGTTGCCCTTGGCGTCCATATCTTTACATTGTTCTCAAGGCCACTGCTCGCTAGCACAGTAGCATGAGGGTGTGGCTCTATGCAATTCACGACATGCTTATCCCCATGCATCAATCGTACAAGCTTTCCACTCTTCTTCTTCCATATAAAAATACGACCACAATCTGACCCACTCACCACATACTCACAATTGGGTCCAAAGAAGTTCACACCCTTTACTGTATCAGTATTATGATGGCCCTTATAGACCTGTGGTCCGTTCTTCTTGTCCATTGATGATGAAGATGCAGAGCCTGGTTCAGGCCCTAACCCTAGTTCTTTTGGGAAGAGATAGATAAGCTCATTGTTGTATGAAACAAGCAGCTCACTCTGATTTGAGAAGGCCAGTCCGGTTATATTGACATGGCCCTTTCCAATGAGATGAGGTGGACAGAAGGAGTCAGTGGAGTGGCCATTATCAGAAGATCCATCCCATTTACACTTTCTGATATCATAGAGTCGAGCATATTCATCTGAACCACCGATGGCAAAGAGATTAGGGTTCTGTGGGTCTATGGTGATTGCATTTAGGTAGACAATATGAGAGTCATGAAAGGAGGTGCAAGTGAAGAGCTTCGTGGGCATGCGCGTTCTCAAGTCAAACTGCAAGGGTTTAATTAGGGTCATAGAATAGAATTGAAAAGATAAGAATTACCAAGAAAACCCAGAAAGATGAAAACAATAATTGAGAGCATTACTTACGTGCTGAACCAGCCCATCTTCTCCACAACTATAGAATATGTGAGGGCTTCCACGTTCAATGGCCAGCTTATAAGCACGCCCACCATGTCTGGCAAGCTTCACGGTATCAACTTGACCTCCTTCTAAGATCTTAGCATACCTCACCTGGTGTAAATGATATAACATAGAACCTTAGATAAGGCTTCCAGATTCAGAGCCCAAATAACACACTAGGTTAAATGAGACATATAATTTTTTGCAAATTTTGGCCAAAACTTGTGCTCAACCCTTGCCCAAAACTGAAATAACTGCAAAAGATGATATCCATATAACAGCCATCATACTCCTGAACCGGAAATAACAATTCCTTTTAAAAAAAAATAAGTTTCTGAATTTTATACATAAAGCTGGCAACGCAATTTCCAATGTTCATGCACTTTATGATATAGAATGCATTCCTTTTAAGAACTTTCAGATCAAAACTGGCCCCAGTCAAAATTGAACCAGTCTGAAATCTTTTACATGTAGGGGTTGTAAATGAAGTTGAAAAGCACAGTTCAAAAAACAAAATGGTGGAATATAATAAAGAGAGATTCAAATGGAATTGACGTCACAAACCTGCCCATCTGCCGCACAAGTGACAATGCTCCGATCATCAGAGAAGGGCATGATCCTTGCTTGAAAGACATTGTTTGTGTGCCCTGAGTGGAAGGAGAGCTTGACACACTGAGAGTCCCAGTCCCACAGAATAACTAATCTGTCATCCGATCCTGACACAAGAAGGTCACCAGATGAATTGAAATGAACTGTGTTTACGCAGCCTTGGTGCATCTCCAGCTTGGCATACTGGTCAAGCCTCAGCACAAGTTCCTGAGCAATAAAACCATATGCTTGATGGTCAGTAGATCTAAGAATCCAAAAATAAACAATATCTTATGTAACTTGGACATGCATGTCAATGGTTTTTAGGAGCATCTACACACCATAGATACAAAATGCATGTCTGAAGGTTTAAACTTAGGAACTTCTTCTTCCCCCCTCCCCCCACAACCCCAAAAGAAAAAAGAAGGAAAGGGGGGGGGGATTAGATACTTCTACTTGATCTTTTTTGTTGAAATGTCTCTATGGAAGTACTTAATTTCAAAACCTACCCACTCATTTAGATGCTGTAGGAACATATGTCCGAAATGTAAGTGACTTCCTATTTTGTGGGGGGGGCTGTATTCAGTTACAAGGTAGAATTCTTTTTGTATATTTTTTATTCTAGAACCACACATAATAGCAGCTAAAAAACCACCACTACCAAAACCTTTCTTTATCGAACATTGTCTGTATCAATAACAACAATATTCAGGGCCCTTTATTTTGTATCTTCTGTCTGTGTGTGTGTCTGTGTGTGAAAGACAGAGAGTGTGTGTGTGCGTGCGAGTGTGTGTGTGTGTGTGTGTGAGAGAGAGAGAGAGAGAGTCAGAGAGAGAGAGAGTGGAGGGGAGGGAAAGGGTAGGGAGAGGGAGAGATATAAAGTCCACAAAAAGAGAATGTGCATTCACTAGAAGGAAATATAACCAAATTTTGGGCTAATCCATTCATACCATTAGTTTCATTCAGAAACCCACAGCAGAGTAGAGATAGATACGCAACCATTTCTAGCCAGTAACACCCTATCAGATTAGTTCCCCAATAAGCCAAACAGTATGGCACTTAATCTTTGGACAAATAACTAACAAAAACAAAAATTGGACATAGAAAAACAAGGAATAAAGACATTTCAAGAAAGCCATGCATTGCCTACACAAATGACGCAGAGTAGAATAATCAAGTTATGTAGAGAACACTAGACTAGGAGGGACACAAAGGTACTCCTGCAATTCTATATTTTTTATCATGTAAAAAAAAAAGTTAAAAAATCATTTGATGATAGCATATATACATTTATTGCAATCAACATTTTAAAAGTAATATTAAAATTATATGATCATGAAAGCAACATGCCCCAAGTCATTTTCGAGATCCAAAATCTTTTAAAACTAACCCAGTTAAAGAGTCCCCAGGTGACTGGTCAATCATGCAACATAAATATATCGGTAATCCACTCAAATGGGACGCAAATGTGTAGTTCAACTTCAACTTCAACTTTATCATGTTTAGTCATCTCAATGGCTTTGCTTATGTTTCAGCTTGTCATTGGATGCTCCGAAAAGTGCGTTACCAGATTTAATCAATTAAAAACAAGGTTTTAAGGAAACACAAGAATCCAAGCTAGGAATGGACAAGTTCTAGAGCTTGAATCCTTTGTTACAATTTACATCAGCCTGACTTATGCTGAATACCCTTGATCTAGGCCTTGAAACCTATACTTTTGATTCTAGAAAATAAGATATGCAGTCATACATAAATAGAAACAATACCATGGGCATATGTGCCCGTATACTTGAACTTAAACGCAGGGGTACTGTGGTATGACATGTTTTTCTTCGAGATCAGACTTCAAGTGGATTTGAAAAACTATAATATCTCTCTCTATATCAAATATGGCTCAAGAAACAGTCGTAGAAGTGATTGGTTTTGGCAATACAGTCACTCTCTATCTCTCTCAAACTATCACGCTGATTCAATCCTCTCAATTCAAAGGATCGAATCCCCTCTTCATCAAGGAATGAGGTTTATATAGATTTGTCAACTCACAACCACGAAATCTTCAGTCTTTATCCATCTACTGATCTGCATCCTCATAATTACAAAGTGATAAGCACGAAAAGTACGATCCTCACATATGCTTTGATCGTACATCTTCATCTTCTTAATCCAATTTTCAAAGTGATAATTATCCATTTCAAATACTCATACAGGTGTCTACTGATGATACTCACATCTCTCAATCAATGCTTATCCTTAATTTGAATTCACATATCCCAGATTCAACAGAGTCATCATGTGAGCAAAATCAGGGATTTTATTATCTCTTATCGAGAGTAAGTTAAGCTTATGCAACACAGTTTCGACATGTCTTTATATTTCTTCAAATTTGAAGGGATGAAAAATGACTCATAGACGAACACAACGGCCCAAGTCTCACTTTAAATGGATCACAGATGAGAGAGATCTCGTTTGTCAAAGTTATTAAGTTTCTGTTGGAAATTACGTCAGCAGAACCAATATAATACCAGTAGATTGTGGATGCAACCGCTTCTTAATGACAAATCTTTTGAACATGAAATCTGAAGAAATGAGAGGACACAAAGACAAACACAATGGTTCAAGTCTCGCCTCAAATGGATCTTAGATGAAAGGGATATGGTCTGCCCAATTTACTGTGTTTCTGTTGGAAATTGCGTCAGCAGAACCAGTACGATACAAGAAGATATGGTCCCATTCAAATGCTCCTCCACTTATTCTCCGTAATTTCACCAAAATATGCTCCAATTTTCTAGGGACACATTCACCATAACCACTAAATGTACTCCTATGGAGCAAGCAATGTCCCCAACTACACCATTCTCCTCCACCTGCATCCTCATCATCATCATCATCATCATCCAAGCTTTATCTCAATTATTTGGGGTTGGCTACATGAATCATGTTCCTCTATAGGTTCAGGACTTATGATAAAATATATCAAAGTTTTACGCTAGCTGCCTACGTAACGCAACGCACCTCTTTTACCCTGGCTTGGGACGGGTTAAGGGAAAGTTCCTCATCCTTATTAGACCATATCAGTGTTTTAAAATGCAGCCGCATCATGCGGGATGCGCTCGCATCCGCATCAGAAATAGATGCATATGCGCTTTTGGCAAATGCAGCCGCATATGCGCCGCATCAGGCCGCATCGTAGCCGCATCCCGCATCGTAGCCGCATCCCACTAAAAAATCCCAAAGATAGAAATTGTGTGATATGCTTGCTCTATGGAAATACTTATATGGGTGGATAACTGGATACAGAATCTCCGACAGCTAATAGTTTTCAAGTTAATCATTAAACTAAAATACCTATTATCACATATATCACCTTCATATATTTTTCTATGCATTAATTTATTTTTTTAGATTTTTTAGAATTTTTTTACATTTATTGACCGCATCATCACGATGCACCCGCATACGGGCCGCATCGCCGCATCGGCCACCCACCACATCAGGGCCGCATCCCGCATTTTAAAACACTGGACCATATTCTCCTCCGTGGGCAAAGAAGTACAAAATAGTGATATGAACAAAGAGATGCATCTCATTCGATGGGGCATTCAAAACAACATTGCTCATTAAGCACAAGAAAGCGGCCTTTTCATGAATCGGGACCGACCGGTTTAGGGCGGTTTTGATGATCAACCGGTATTTAAAAAAAAATTCAAAAAAATATATAAAAAATCTTAAAAATAAGGAATTTGATTTGTCATACATTTTTTAATATTTTTTACATTATGATAAAGCTTAGAAATTGTTTCGGTCATTAATATTCACTTTTATATTTTTTTCATTTTTCAAAAAAATTTAAAAATACCCCTAGACACCTTTAAAATCCATTCTTTTCATTAATTTTCAACTTCATTTGAATGTGTTTGTTTTAATCATTCTTTATATGCTTTTCATATTTTAGTAGATTTTTTTGTATTTTTTTAATTTTTTCAACATTTTTTTGACAGCCCGGGACTTGCCCGGTTAGAACGGTTGTATTGGCCGGTTAACCAGTTAGGCCGGTTAAACCACTTCCGGCCCATGTCCGGTTAACTATACCAGTTCGATTTTGCGAACACTGGTTTTGAATTATATAGTTTGGTTCTATTCTGTACCATGCTCTAGCATCCAAAAGTATCACAGGTTTAAGGCTATGGCATCATACATTTAAATTTCAATTGGACAAACAATGCCCTAACCATTACACAGAAAAGATTCAGTAATAACAAAGACACGGGTTTGATCCTAGAGTACACGTAGACTAATCAACACCAATTAATTTCCCCTCTGAAAAGGGCTTCCAACCCCTCTCTAAAATTCAGTAAAGCCATGGCCAAGAACATAGTTGTCACTTGTGGATACCAGTCGCCTCAGATGTTTGTGTTTCTTTTTTCTGTGACTTCCCTCTAACTATGACTGTTGTAGTGGAATTTGCTTGAGTAATAGTAGTTTTAGGACATTATCAAATAAATAAAATTTAACAAAATAACCATTTACATCATCTCAATCTTATATCAGTAACAAAAACCAGCAACACCAACAGATGAAATGAACAAGACCAAAAGATGAAATGAACACAGCCAGCTGCAATTCAAAGAATAAAACAAAAAGAACTAAACTAATAGCCTCAATTCATATAATCAAGCAAGAACAGTTAAACAAAATAGTCCCAATTCGCACAATAAAACAAAAATATTTATATTAATAGCCCCGATTCGAAGAATCAAGCCAAAAAAAAATTAAACAAATAAAATCCTTTGCAAATAAAACTAAAAGATAAACATGAAGCCCTTGTTAATTGATCATAGACACCCCACAAAGCATCACAATGAAATCCAACCCAATATAGATAACAAATAAATAGAAAAAAAAAAACAGAAAATCGATCAATGGTCTCTTCGGACCATTTTTGGGTGCCTCTGAAAAATCAAAATTATAGTAAAAAACAATGAAAGAAGTGACTAAAAAAACATCAATACCTCGAAACCAGCGATCCTCTGCGCAAAGGCGCGTGGTCTAACCATGCCGAATTGCCTTTGCCATATCTCATCAATACCACGATTAATAACCTTGGGTGTCTTAGCAGTTGGATCCATCTCTCTCTCTCACGATCTCTGCACTTTTAAAACGAAACCCACTTTACTTTCTCAATCGAACAATCCTTCAAAACCCATGCCTACTGCTCAGGCTTGGCCTTCCTTTCCCTGTAAATACAAAAAACCATTTCCGAGACCAGAAAGCTCAAGAAAAACGAGGAAACAAGTAGAGAAACCTAAATCCTGTAAAAGAAGATCCTACTAAGTGAAGAAATTAATGGAGATAAATCAAGGGGGCAGATAAGAACACATGGACGGCTTCGTGGCTCGGTCCCAGTTCGGAGAGAGAGCGAGAGAAGGTTCGCTCATTTCCATAATTCATAATAAGGTTGCTACCTTATATTCATATTCATATTGTAGACCAAAGAAAGCGGTACACCTTGTACTCGTATATAGAAAAAAGGGAGGCAAGGCGATAAATAGTTGGAATTTGATGTTAAATTGGGGCTGGCATCTTATTAAAATTTGTAAAGTTTGGTTAAGGTTGCAACCTTATATTGCAAAGGCATAAAGAAAAAAAAAAAAAAATTGTTTTAAAAATAATTCATCTTGTAACAAGTTATTTAGACGGTTTAAAGAAGCCAAAAAAAAAAATTAACTTTTAAAGATAACTCATCTTGTACCAAGTGTTCGTAGTTCTGCTCAATTTACATCATTTTTAAAAACTTTAAATTTTATAATTAAAGTTAAATATAGATTTTCAAGTCACCGATTAAACTTAACAGGAAAGTCGCAAATTTTAGAAATTTACTTTTATAGTATAACACGGTACCTATCGAGATTTAAGGGATTATCTATGAAAAGACCATATATTGATTATTGCGCATAGCATGTTCTCGCGAGAGCATACTGTGTATTAACTCCTTGGGCCAAAAGAGTAGCATGGAATTTTTATTTTAACTTTTGGAATCCATTTAAGAAGCATCGCAGGATGATTTTCAAAAATAGGTTTTGATTTCTTCAAGACGTATGTTTCGCCTATAAAAATTGGGCAATTTAAGTTAATCTTGGGACATTGTCTTTTTCAAGCACAGGGAGTGTGTGATTTGGATTCTCTTTGTTCTACTTTGTTTCTTTTTTGAAGTTGGCCACTAGGATCAAGAGGTTACATTATCAAACTTAAGGTCCTAAAAACATTATTAGCTTGGATTTTACTTAAGGGAGCAAAAAGATAGTATCTTCTTGTGAGAGCACCAAATCTTTTCACTATAATTTATCTTTGATACAAGGAGGCAACAGCCGACTTTGATCATTAGATGTGAAATCCAATGGCTTTAGGGTGTATCACAGTCTAAAACTTCTTATTTGAATTTTGAACCCAACTTCCCATGTTCATGTCAAACAATAAAGAATGGTCAATACCATGTTCCACTCCCAAAGATAAGTAACAAAAGGGAATAAAAGGACTTGAAAATCTTATATATCATCAAATCATCCATTATCAAAGTATAAAGTTGGAAGATCTCGCTTTTGTGGATTTTGAACTTTGCATTTTCCTTGGGAAATCCTATGCATAACTTTGTGTGTCTTCTGGAATGTTCTTCCTTTTGGATGAGCAAGATACACATTAATCACAAATTGAATAGGACGATGAATCTTTTAAAATCAATTGAGCTGGCCAATCCGATATGCAACATGTGACTAATGGCTTCCCCCCCCCCCCCTACCTAGAAAGTGTTCAGTACCGTGTTTATAGATTAGGAAAGGTTTCTGTACTTCCCCTACAATATAGAAGATATATATTTCCACTCATCCAACCGTCCAATTTAGATCAAGTTGCCACTCACCGTTTGTTTTTAGCTTTTTTTTTTCTACAAATTTTATGAATATCAAATTTGATACGTGCCATCTTCTCAATGGGACGCATCTAAAAAAAATAATTTAATAAACTATAATGACCAAAATTGGTCCTTTTATTTTATTGGGAATATTGCTTTTATATTTTTTATAAGTGGGAGCTTAAGAGAGGAGTGGACGCCCAAATTTTGGTATCAAAATATTTTATAAATAAAATGGTGTAAAGACATGACATTGTGATTGGGATCATCTTAACCGTCCATTCAGAATGCATGGTTGGATAAGGAGATATATATGCATATTTTATGATGTAGGGGAAACATAGAGAGCTTGCCCTTATAGATTGGTTTTCATGTAAGAACCATCAGCCTTTAATGTTATTGATACCGTGATGACGTATTTATGAGCAGATGCAATAATTTGTGAGTGTTTACATAATATGTGCAGGAGGTGATCTTTTTTGCATTTGGGTAGATTAGCAAAAAATACTAGGTCGATAATAACTACCAACATATTTATGAGTCAAACAAAACATAAAAATAAAAAATAAATATTTTAAACTTTATTTATGGAGTTTTTTTACAGCTTATTTTAGTGCTTTCAAAATATTTTTTTTGAAATTTTAAATTCCATTATTTGTTTTAAATTGAGATTGTTGACATATGAAGTTTTAAGGGAAATTATCGCTAATATACCCAAATTTTAGTAAAAGTGGAAAAAAATCCCTAACTTTTCAAAACCTCGCCCACACCCTTTTTCCCCATTTTGGCTTTTTTTTTTGCTTGGAAGTACCTTTTATGGTAGAAAGACTACCGTACTACATTATATCTTTACGGTAATGTAAATCTCGTTATACATTGCATTAGTATTACGGTACAAAATACACCGTAATATTTTGAATTTGTATTACGGTACAAAATACAATGTAATATTTTGAATTTGTATTACGATAAATAGAGTACCGTAATACCTTATATTTATTTTATGGTATTCTTAATACCGTATTGACTTCAAATACTATTACGGCAATCGAATTGTCGTAATTGTTTGGCACCTATAAACCCTAACCCGCAACCCCATTATGTCATTACGGTCTGTGAACCCTTCGAATATTACGATTTTCCTTCTGTCGTTATAGAACTCTCTCCCTTGTCACAGGTATGTGTGTTTGTTTGGATTTATTCTACGTTTTTAAGTTGTTTTCAAGTTATATAAGGTTGTTAGTTTTATATATAAAACTGCTAAACAAATCGTCAAAATAAGGTTTTATGAAAAAATTCCAAAAAAAAAAAAAAAGCGGGAAATATTTACGGTAATATGATTACCGTATAATTTCCGAAAGACATTACGGTACTTCGTGCACCGTAATTTCCAGTTAATACAATACGTTAGTGAAATTACCGTAAAATGTATTTCTTATATTATGGTATATAAAATACCGTAAACACCTTTCTATACATTACGATATTTAAATTACCGTAATGTTCTTTACGGTAAATTGACTACTGTAAAGGGTAATTTCATCCAAAAAAAGCCAAATTTTGATAAAAAAAAGGTGTAGCCGAGGTTTTGTAAAATTTAGGATTTTTTTTACAATTTTCTTAAAATATAAGTATATTTATGATAACTTCTGAAGTTTTAACTCCAAATTGTAGATTTATGATGGATTTTTTGAAATGCACACATTTGATCAGGAACACGCCAAAACTTATTCCTCTACAAACCCGCGCACATACATATACATATATACCCCTTAGCTGATACATGGTGCACATTTACATAGAAATCCCCTCTAAGGTTTCGATTGAACACTTCATGAACCTCTATTTCTTAGATTCTAACATATTTATGTAGTATTTTTCTCACTTACAAAATAAAATATTTCTAAATAGGTATTTGCACAATATTAGTGTCGAAATTTTTGATTAATGGTAGTCACCAATATCGAAAATATAGTTAATAGTGCATGATAATGAGAGACAAAAGAAAGTAATTGTGATGGGATTTGAACCTTGCTTATTACTAACCATATTTCTACTGCTTCTAAGATGTTATATTTAATAAATTTACATTTAAAATTTTGGAGCATTTAAGAGAAGATTAGCATGGATGGCCCCTCTGAAATGATGACATGCACAAACCAATAAATGGTTTAAATTTGTTTGGGAATAGGATAGGGGCATTGATGCCACGAGATAACAACATCATACGCTCCAGACCTACCGTTAAGAGGAACAATGATTGGATTTATGAATGGACTAAAGGCTAGGTGGTCAGCATAGTGAGCCACCACAATGTATCATGTTGAGTTCCATTCCTATCATAGGTAAATAATGGTATCTCAATTAAACTACCAAAAATAAAAAATAAAGCTTGTTTGATATTCCCGTGCACGTTCTTGTATTGTTAATACAATTTTTTAGGTGACAATAGTGGCATTTTGAATACTACATTTTATTCCCATTTAATAGGATTCATTGATATCTTTATGTGTAAACACATAGTTGAGCATGGGAATGGGGTTGAGGTCGTGATAGTAGCACCACTTGAGCCTCAATTATCGATATAAGTTTCCATTCCCACTAACGCATTGGAAAACCTCTAATTATTTCTAAAAAAAACGGGTAAGGCTGTTATTCCTCCACTTATCTACCCAAAAAAACACATAGTTGAACATCATTATCTAGTGAACTACAAAAAACGCAAAAAGAAGATATCTTTTCATCTAACATACAAATCGGCCATGAAACAGAAAATAAAAATTGACGCAAACACTTGCAATATATAACAAATAGTGAGAGTTGATCGTTGCATTTTAGTATTGGCCGTTGTATTTGCTTGGAAGATAAGAAATTCGAAGATTCATAGATTATAATATGACAAAAGGAAAAAGTAAATATAGAGCTTAGGCTCTAAACAATAAAATTAGAGCCTACCTCAAAATTTTCATTAGAAAATGTTGTTTTGATGCTCAAATATCACCGTCAATTTTTAAATTATTCAAGTTTTCATAGATTTGCTCGATCTACACTATTTTTAGAGCTTTAAATTTTATAATTAAAGATTGAAATATATTTCAAGGATAGTAAAAAATTTCCAATTATGAAACCATATTTCTCGGTACTATTTGAAGGTGGGCTCTAATTTGATTGTTTTGAGCGTCGGCTCTATACAAACCACACCCTATAACAAATTCATAATATACACATGATTATGAGTAAATTTGTAAACTTTTTCCATTGGGAAAATTAGATATTTAGGATGATTTTCTTGATAAAAATATGGGGATCTATTTTAGAAGAACTAGATAAGTATTTTTTCAAATACATAAAGAAGAAAAGAGATTTCTAAGTGTTTAAACACTTTGATATGGTCAATGTTTGCAAACTCATATCAGAGGCATATCGTTCACCCACAAATATGTATTTGGTCGTTGGATCAGTGACCTGTATCGGTTAGGATCAATCTGAAAAATAATCAATTTTTTAAAAAACACGGTTGAAATAAAAATATATATTAAAATATAGGTTTTTGGGGTGGGGTTTTAGAGAATACTTAACAAAACATTAGACGATCATCATCAATGTCGTCCAAACCTCATCTGATTTATTTAGGGTTAGCTACATGAGTCTTGTTACTCCATGCTTCTCTATCAAAGGCCACACACTCAGTAAGAGCAAAAGTCACCATGTATTTTCTCACTAATTCTATCCATGCGCTTTTGGGCCTGCCCCTTGCACTTTTAAAGCCTCACTTAAACCCAATCACACCTCTTAACCGGAATTGTTTTAGGTTTATGCTGCATATGACCAATCTACTTTCCCCCATCTTATTGCTTATTAAAGTAACATATAAATCCCTCATATATTTTCATTTCAAATTCTATCTTTTATTGTCTTGTCACTCATCCATTTCAACATAGCTACACGTATTATATGGATGTGTTGTTTATTGATCGCCTAACATTCCGTCCCATAAAGCATGACTGGTCTTACAACCGTCCTATAAAACATCCACTTCAGTCTCAGTGGTATGTAACGGTCACATGAAACTCCGAATGCACATATCCATTTCACACACCCATCTCTAATTCTATGCGCGTCATCTTTCTCAATCTCTTAACTCTTCTAGATATCATAAACAATCTCTTTTGGTATTTATTGACCATCAATCTTAACGACTTCACTGTTTCTACTCATATTATTACTAAATTTGTATTCTATATATTTTTTCTTAGTTTGACTAATTTTAAAACCTTTAAATTCTAGAGCATATATGAAATATTCAAACTTTGCATTGACATTGCTTCTAGTCTAATTGATCAAAACTATGTCATCCGAGAACAATATACATTATATTAGCTCATCTTGTAAGTGCATGGTTAAGTATTTTGTAACCAAAACAAAGAGATATGGGGTTGATCCCTGATATAAGCCTATTGTCACTAGGAACTCACTCGTCTCTTTACTAGTTGTCCGCACACTAGTTATATCTCCTTCATATATGTTTTTCATTATGTCAATATAGTTTATGGTGACTCATTTCTACCTAATAAAATATGAGATAAGTTTTTTAAAAATGAAAAAATATATATAAAAGGGGAGTTTTGTTGTGAATTAGGCCATGACCAACACCATCCCAAAACTAGTTTGGTTGCGACTGATTTCTATATGGATCAACGATTCGGGTAAGAAATTGCGTGCTTTAAAACACCGGATATGGCCATGCAAGGGCACATGCAATTTTAGAATGTGATTGTTTTAAATGTAGGTTTAGTGGATTTTTAAATTTATCTTACGAATATATTTATTTATTTTGTTTTTGGGGTAGTGTCAGGGTCACGCAACATGTCTCAAATTTCAGGGTCCAAAAATACCTCAGCTAGGGTTCTGCCCGAGGTAGCAACTATGCATTTTGCTCCTGCGGGATTATAAAATATATTACTTTTGTCTCCCTTCAAGCGAGTAGCACGTGCGGCGTATTCAATTTCTCTGCCTATTTAATCCAAACCCACTAACCCTGTCGTCCGTCGTATTTATGCGAGCGCGATCAGACCCCAAACCCTAGTTTTCTAAACCCTCTTCTTTCTCATTTATTTGTGAAAAAATGGTATGGTTCTTGTGAAAATCTCTCTATTTGTTGATCTCCATTTTAGTTCCTTAATTTTAAAGCACTTTTTCACTATTTCTACATAAATTTATTTGCAGGCGGACTCTCCTCGTAGAAGGTATGAGTTATGTTTGCGAACTTACTTCTTGATACTTCTATATTAAGTTTGATCATAGGGTTTGGTTTTTCTCTTAGAAAGTGACCCACAAATTAATTAATTGGAATGACCAATATTTTGTTGTTATAAATTTTCCACAGATTGTGTTGTTTCATCTTTTCATTATCTGAAACCTGAAAGATGAAAATCATAGTCTTTCTTTAAATTTATTTGTTTCTGGTATCAGATTGTTGACATGTATTTTTTAGAGAGTAAACAAACATATTATTTGGGAGCTATCTTGGGGTTGGGACTAAGTCTTTTGACATGTTACATATACCGAATTGAGATGAAATGTTTTGTAAATATTTGTTTTGGGGTACTCATGTCTCTTTGTCTGATGTTGTGTATTTTATGCATAGTGATTTTGATGATTATTCTTCCAAGCACTGGTTTATTGCTTTATTGCCACAACTTTTGTATCACAAGATCATGAACATCCATTCATTGATCCAAAGAGAAAATAACCATAAGGAATACAAGTTTGTGCTACGTTAAGAAGTAGACATTATATGTTGCAATCCATATGCTTCTTTTTCGGTCGTTATATGTAGATTCCCCATACGCAATGATTCTCCTGGTATCTCTGTAAAGAAGTAGACGTATTATGTAGATTAATTCCTTTCTGAATTTGTTTATTTTCATGTATCTCAATTTGATACAGAGGATAGATGGATCTCCATGTTCATGCTACCCCTTTACGTGTAAAAATCCATTGACATTCCCATAAAAATCACTTTGAAGTTCGTTCAGCACATAGTGTCATGTTTCTGGATTGTCTAATGTAATATTGTTGGTGCACTGGAATAGCCTATGCTTTCATTCCTAGAATTTGGTTATGATCTCAGTGAACTCCTCCAATTTGTTCACTTTTCAATTGACCTGCATTTCACAACAAATGAACAATTATTGTTGGGCATATTACGGATGTTGCATCTCTGGCCTGCGTATCTCTGATAATGTTGTTACTTTTGATGCCATCTATGGTATCGACTTCGTAGAAATTTGTTTTTTCGCTGCCCTTGAATCAGCCTCACATTTCAATGTCAGTTGACTATCATTCCATTGCATTTACATCTGACGCATATTACAAACGTGTTACCTTCTTCGGCAGCCTACTCTTCTTTTTGGGTAATTTATTTGTGGGGTGGCCCAGTGATAGTTGCACTTACCGGAAACTGGTCTTTGAGTATTCAAGGACCTGAACCTTGAACATAGGAAAATGTTGTTCACTTCGTAGAAATCCTTTCAAGATGAATTTGGGTGGTGCTGCTGGAGGGAACCTGGTTGAGGAGGCATTGATGTCCTTTGAGTATTCAAAGACTGGAACCTTGAACTTAGGAAAGCGCTGTTGACTTCCTAGAAATAACTTCAAGATGAATTTGGATGGTGCTGGGGGGGGGGAACCTGGTTGAGGCATCGATGGTCTTCTTTTGAAGCTCAGGCTGCTTCATTATAAATGCAGATGTTGTCTGGCCTGAAGTGCAATGATGGAAGGCATAATATTCCTGACAAAAGGGTTTTAGGGTCCAAACATATCATAGAAGGAGACTGATTAGATGCCATCAGATGGTGAAAAGGAGCTTCTTGTATACTATTAGAATCAGATGTCTTTTGCAAGATCTTGTATCCATTGCCTTTTCTTGTTCGTGCAAGTTATACATTGCCAGATTTTGTGTTATTGAATCTGTATGCATACCCATTGGAGTGGGTGGTGGATGGATTGCCTAGAACAACGGTATCCAGGGGCAGTTAGATTCTGGAAACTTCATGCCCCCTGATAGCTATTATTAATCTGTGGACATTTATATGTATACATTACCATTTTGACATATAAGCAGAACACTTTATTGTTAATTGGATGATATTTGCCCTCCCCCTTCTGAGAAAGGGTATCTCTTTATGCTTAATATAATAGTTGTACAGATTGCTAATATTTGCCCCATTTTTCTCCTGTCTCAGACTTAGTTTGGTCAATATTCTCTGTGTTTTGTTTCTCCTTTTATGATTCACATTAAACTCTCCTTTAATTTCAGTTGGACTATTTTACGTCCCTCCTTTGAGTCCTAGAGGTTGTCTTGGATGTGAACAGTGCACCTATTTGCGCATCTGGCCTATATGAACAAGATAGCAAGCACTCTCCATAGCGGTTGTGATTGGAACTGATACTATTTCAAGGTCCATTTCATGCTGTGTGTGGTCGGGTTTGCGGTTGTTTGTTAGTTTCTATGCTTTAGTCTTTTAAGCATGCCATGTACCTTTTTATCTACCTGCATAAATTGTGAATAATCTTCTCTCTCTAGGCTTGATTGTGACCATCAGGTGGCATCCTTAGAATCATTTTACTGAATATTTACTTTGTTCTATTCAAATGCGTAATGATCAATGCCATCACAGCATCTTCACACTCGTTATAGGATGATGAATGCATTCTTCTGGTGCATTATCATGTTTATCATTGCACCTAGAATTCCAATCCATTCCAAAAGCTCAGTTGAATAAAGAAAAATCTCTAAACTTCTTGATTGCTAGCCTTGTATATACATATCGGTAGTGAGCAATCCTATCATTGGTATTCCAATATGCCTATCTTTTTATTTGATGGGTGAGCTACCTGTCGACTCCCGGAAACCTTGTCTCAAACTTTCTGTCTATTGATTATTATTTGTTGCCTCCGGTTTTTTGTTCACAGACGATTCTTCCCTTCAGCAGTAATTTCTATTCATAGATTGCTGGAAATTGGCAGTCCAGAATGTGTGGTGCTGTACTGCTGTATGAGATGATAGTTTTCGGCATAGACATTTTTTTATTGCTGCCATTTGTTGTGATTTTTTTGCTGTATTTTCCCTATTGAATGTTGGCCTAGTTTACTGTGTAAATATGTGTAACAATCAAAAGGAAATACTATACTTAGTCTGAGAAGAAAGTTTCTGGGAACAGTATTTGGGTGCATAGATGTCATTTGAATTTGTAACTGCAACTTAGGTACTCGCGGTCCCCTTCACCTGTGAGAGCACGTTCTAGGTCCATGTCCAGATCCAGGTCAAGATCGAGATCGATAACCAGATCAGGAAGTCTTGACAGGTAGAAGTTTGGAAGAAGGGACTATTTATATGTGTACTTACTACTGAATAATAATTGATTATTGTTATCTTTTATGGCCCTAGGCACAAGGGTAGTAAGAATGATGCTGTAAACCCTGGCAACACTCTTTATGTTACTGGACTATCTACTAGGGTTACAGAAAGGGACGTTGAGGAGCACTTCTCCCGGGAGGGAAAGGTTAGTTGTACACTTGGATTTTACTCTCTCTTTCTCTCACGGTTTTTTTTGTTTGCTGAGTTTTATAACAAGCTCTTGGACTATGTTTCACGATGAGCACTTAATGTTTGGGTAAAGAGTACCATCATCCAATGGATTATGGATTCTCCCATAGTCCATTGGGTCATCGCCTCTATTGATATTTGATGGTGAAAGGAAGTGTGGTTTTTACCAAAACAAGACATGAACACACAGTTCCATTTCTCTCTCTCCATTGCAGTCCATTTTAATGGGCTTTGATGACTCCATGGTATTGTTTTTCCCATAGTCCATGGGTTTATAGTGTACTTCTGCCTTCTTTCTTACCCATTGTGTTAGTGTGATTTTCGGTTCTTGATAGGTCGCCAGCTGCCGCCTAGTTGTGGAGCCTCGTACACGCATCTCTCGAGGCTTTGCTTTTGTGACCATGGATACTCTTGAGGATGCAGACCGATGCATCAAGTATCTGAACCAGTCGATATTAGAGGGGCGATACATCACGGTGGAAAAGGTAATGGTTCTTCCTCCTAATTTTGATTATGGGAAAGAATTTTGAAAGGTAGGGTTGGGCTGGCAGGATTATGGTTCTGTTATCCTTGCCTTTTTAACCTTGAGATTTTTGCTATATTCAGAAGAAATTGGGTTCAGCCATCAGGATGATGAGATCAGTCATGCATCTCAACTTAAGTCACAAACAGCTTGATGAATGGCCAACAGCCTAATGGCTTTTTCCCATGCATCTCTCATCAACTTAACATATCAAATATTGCCCCAACTAAACAACCTCAGCATTCACCTTCAACTCTATCGACTAATCAACGGACAATTCCCAACAACTCTAGTGGGGCATATATATGGTATCTCAGAAAACCTGGCATTCATCTGATGGTGCTAGCATACAAATAAATCCCTGAATGTGTTTCGTATTCCTTTTGCCTCAGATCATGGACTCCATCTTGTTTGATCACATGTTCTATCTTAAAAAGTATATATGTTTTGACTTATTACTCATCTTCCTATTGGTTCGTCTTTTACCTGTCTTGATCGTCATTATCTAATCATAGTTTCTAATTTCAATTTTTATGGGATAATATGCTACCTCTGCTTTGCTACTAATGCATATTGCTCAACAACTGAGGTGGTAAGGAGAAGGCATGTAAAAGGATTTGCCAGCTGAGGTCTTTGTTTTGCCTTTCAGTCTAGGAGGCGGCGCCCTCGGACCCCAACACCTGGGAACTACCTTGGAGTGAAAAGCAATAGAGACTCTGGTGAGTCTTTGTGTATATTTTAACAATAAAAGCCTTTCCTTTTTCGCAAATTATTTTACCCCTTGCATGCGAATATGTTTTGTGCATATACATATTCATGTACACTTGCCATGTAAAAACAGGTATACTGTATACACATAGTGCAGTACTACAGTAACTATAACCATGTGTATATGCCGATACATGTGAGTCAATATGGTTCGATTGTGACACAAATATATGATGCTTACAGGGCATGCACACTTCTTTTTTTGCTTATTTGTTTTTTATGGAAGTCTCTAATGACACTTAAAAAGTACACTCCTCGTGAATGGTGTGTAGGTGTGTTATGTCTGATAGGCCAATTGTCTGATGCACGTATCTGTGTTGGACACCACGTGTTATGTGTCCTTGTAACGTAGATATGTACTGGTATACTGTTATACGTATACATGTCGTATATGCGTGCACATACATAGACATGCCTATGTGAATACATGCACATACGTATAGGAGACATGCAAATTCACATCTCTACACACATTTTCCCAAAAAAAATAAAAATAAAAGAAATATTTGATGCATATATGCATGTATATCATTTGTGCGTGCATATATAAGCTTCCATATGTATACATACATGAATATGAGCACTCATTTGTGTCCACTACCTGGGTATGTGTTTAGTCTAAGAAGGGTGAGGGCTTTAAGCTTTCCCTTAACCCTGTCCAAGCCTGGGTAAAAAGGTGGGTTGTGTTAGGTAGGCAGTCAACATAAAACTTTGTCAAAACTTATCATGAATTCTAGGTATGTGTTAATATATACCTCTGCATATATGTGTAATGTTGTTTGTATAATATGTATGTATGCATTTGTATATGTGTGCGTAGGAACATGTTATGTCCTAATATCTGTTCATCTTTCAGGACGTGAGCGCGGTAGGTATCGTGGTGGATATGGCCGTGAAGACTATGGTGGGTATCGACGTTCTCCAAGGCGATCACCCTATCGTGGCGGTCGTGATTATTCTCCACGCAGGTCTCCTTATGGAGGTGGCCGCTCTCGAAGGGAACGTTCTAGATCTCTGCCTTACTCCCCGCCTTATGATAGTCCAGACCGTGGCCATGGTCGACGTCCTAGTGCCTATGCTAGGTGACATTTTTAAGATGGGGCCGAGTTTCTGGATTGGGTTTTTATTACTGTTAATTTGTCACGGAGTATATTTGTGCATGTACTAGTGCCTTGGATTGATCTTATTGCCCTTGTTTCTCTCCCCTTTGTGCTTGTATATCACTTTGAGTGTTTGTAGGCTGGGTTATGATGTATGAGCTTTAAACTTCAGTTTAGGAGTTTGGGAAGACGAGGGAAGTATAACGTTTCAGTAAGAGCCTTTCCGTGGAAGTTTTGTATGTTGTCATTTCCGATATTTTTCTATTGTGTAATTGAACAAGGGAAAGAGGAAAAGCCAGGGTAAACACAACTCAAATGTCTTTCAAGAATATTTTCTGGAACAGTGATGGCAAATGCGTTCGATCTGTGGCAGGAATTTGTTTTTTCTCGGTCAATTTCTTATGCCAGGGATGTCGATGCCGTCAATTGGACCTATATATGTAGCTCAAACCGATGATCCTCGAAGCCAAACTTGCGTCTTGCATTTGGTTGATCTTGAATGACCTGGCCAAAGAGAAAAATGGCGTTCCTTGGAATGGGCTCCTCCCTCTACGGTCAATTTCTCAGGGCCTGTGTGTGTGTAGCATGGGTTGTTTTTGAGGCGTGGGGGTGGGGCACGGGTTGTGGTTTACGAAAAGCATCAACTTTAAACGCTAGAATTAAGGTGTATTTATGTACTCTATTGCCCTAGATATAGTTTCAGTGCTGAAAAAGTATATTCTCATTCGGTGATTTGAATACTGAAATTTTAGATCTGAAAATTGCTTTTTCATTGGACGTTTTGGAGCATGGTATATACAAACTTCGAGCCCAATTTGTTCTTTTTTTTTTTGGTTGAATCAATGGGGAGAGGGCCTTGCCCCCGTAGGAATTGAACATAGGAAATAGCATTGTAAATTATCAAGTGCTAACTTATTAAGCTCGGGCTTTTTTCTTCAATTTATACTTTTTAGAAATGTTGAATATGTGGTATTGTATAGTTGCTTATGGAAAGTAAAAGTATATCAATAACACTGAGAGAAGGGTGCGGCTTATATATATGTTTGTAACTTTGTAGAGGTAAAGTTGCAATGTTATGCACATGTATAATGACAATGTCCCATGTCTTTTAATGTGGTAATCAAATCTATACTATCCAAATAAACAAGTTGGTGTAGATGAGAACCATTTGTGCATGTAATGTTAACACTTTATGTGAACTTTTTTCTTGTCTAAAAGATCAATGTTTTCACATCCAAAGATAATGGGATCCTTCATCAATTTCGTAATATATTCTCAAGTTTCATGTTTCGTAAAACTTATTGAGAACAAATCCGATCTATATAATGAAACAACATATCCAATTAAAATAAGTGTCACATTCATGTTACTTCTCAATATTTGAACTAAAAGTGATCCATCTATATTAAAAGTTAAAATTTAAAATTTAAAATTATAATTCAAATTTATTGATTTAGACAAGGAATGTTCATAATTTAAATTTATTGATTTAGAGAGAGCATACGATAAGGTACCTGGAGATTTAATTTAGTGGGTGTTTGAAAAGAAATGAGTTTCTAGAGGATATATTAATGTGGTAAGAGATAGGTGTGAGGGAGTTTCAACTATTGGAGGATAATTAGTGGAATGATTTGTGAGTTTTCGGTGATGGTAGGCCCTGCATCAGGGGTTAGTGTTGAGCTCATATCTCTTTATTTTGGTTATGGGCGAGTTGCTAGGAAACTACGAGGTAGTGTGTTGTATGTTGTTCGTGGATGATATAATTTTGATTGATGAGACTAAAAGCAGTGTCAACACAAAGTTATAAAATTTGATAGATGTTCTAAAATCTAAAAGTTTTAAAATTAGCCGGATTAGAACAAAATATATAGAATGCAAATTTAGTAATACGAGTAGATACAAGGGAGTAGTTGCGACTTGAGAGAGATGGCAAATAAATACCTAAAATATATTATTTAATATATCTTGGGTTCATAATCCAAGAGAATGGAGAAATTGAGGAAGATGTCTCATATAGGATTAGAACTAGGTGGCCAAAGTGGAGATGTGCATCCATAGTTTTATGCGATTGTTGCATACTAATGAAACTGAAGGGTAAGTTTTATAGGATGACTATAAGATTAACCATGCTTTTTATAAGACTGAATGTTGGGCATTCAAGAAACAACATATCTATATGATGAGTGTAATTGAGATGAGGATATTGAAATGGATAAGTAGCTGCATAAAAAAGGATAAAATCCATAACAAATACTAAGGTTTTTAAAAACAGACCGGCAACCTAGATCGTCCATCCTGAAAACTAGGTTGCATTAGTGTATTGACGATCCGGATTGGAGAATCAGCCAGATCTGACCTTAAAAATAATTAAAAAAAAAAATCACTAAAAAACATTGTACCTGATGTTATTTTGGTCTTCAGGAAAAAAATGGAGATAACTCATTATAAATTTTTGATGTCTTGCAAAATTAAGTGAATCTTGATAAGCTGTTTCCTGTTTAAATGTCTATTGATCACATTCTGGTTATGTTTCTGCACATCATTTCATGGGGCTTTACTCTTTGTCTATCTAGAGATGATGAGAGAGGAAATGTTGGTGTTCAGGTTGTGATCTCTGTTTTCATGCATTTGATATTGTTTATGATGCGACGAGAGAAAGGGTGATTTTCTGAGGTAAACGCATTTCTTCAAGTATGTAGAAATTGACCGAGTTGTTCACAAAAACCCTCCCCATATTTTTCAACCTTCGTATAAAGCACAGGGCTTGCCATTTTTCTGATGGTATTTTTATGCATAATTTCCCTTACACAAACCAAAGGCTCATACATATGCCTCTTGTTTATCATTTTCACATATTTCTCACGCCTTTTCTTCTTGTTGGGGTTGCCCGAAAATCCGATCTCACTGTAGAAGGAAAAGATAATGCCAAATTATATGGTTCATTCACTCTACATATACAAAAACTAAAGTTTATTTAAAAGCCTGCATGGAGTTTTGTCCCACATAAGGAATTCACCTTGGATTTTGGGAGGCCAAGGACTATAAAATACAAGGCAAGGGAAAGGTTCGGTCAATGCTCATCCTCATGGGAGTGGTCCCTCATTATTCTATAACTGTAATTTTGGACATTTATGCATTGGTAAGGGATATTTTTGGATTTTTGGTCATCATGACGGGTATGATATAACCAAATACCAAAAATATATTTACTAAAAAATAATATAATATAAATCAAGGGTATATAATTTGTTGAGCATAATTATAAAATATTCTATTGAATAAAATATTGTATTACAAATCAAAAATATATAACAATTATAATATGAAAAAGTTTATGTAGGATTGCAGCCTTAAAATGTAGAATTAAAGATGCACCTAAAAAATCTATCGGAAAAGGTTGTTTTAATGTTGAAAACCTATAATTGAGCTTGACATTGAGATGTATGAACATGAAATAAAAAATAAAAAAATTGAGTCCCTGAAATAGTGCATCTTGCAACACATTATCTATATCATCCATTTTCAAGATTTTCATATATTCATAGATCTACTTGATTTTAGCTATTTTTGGAGTTTCAAATTTTAT